AAAATGATGTCACCGGCACTTTAACCTCTCGCTACAGTTCTGCTACTTTTGGTTGGCGTTTTTCCAGTTTAGCTTTTAGTTAGACTCTTGCTACTTTTAGCTGCCTCCTTGACATTTTTTGCTTTTAGCTATTGTTTAAGTAATTTTAGCTTTTACCTAGGCTTTTTGCTACTTGCATCTAGCCTTCTACTACTTATAGTACAGAGCTAACTTTTTTCTGCTTTTAGCTAGATGACTGCTTCTTTTAACTTCTAGCTAGATTTCATCATGTTAGCTTCTAGCTAGCGTTTCATTATTAGGTTTTTAGCTGTTATTTAGCATTTTTTACTTGCCGCCTTGTCATTTCTTTTGCTGTTAGCTTGAGTTAAGTGCCTTTCGCATTTACCTAGCCTTTTGCTGCTTTTGGTTTCTAGTCACTGTTTTGCTACTTTTATCTTGCCTTCTACCACTCATACCTTCAAGCTAACCTTTTGCTGTTTTTAGCAGATGTTTTGCTACATTTAGCTTTATTCTATGCTTTCGCTACTTTAAGCTACAAATCCACTGTTTAAGCTTTTAGCTTAAATTACCTTTATTTTTGTCTGCTGTTTAAACTTCTAAGTAGCCTTTTGTTACTTCAGCTGTTAGCTAGCCTTTTGATTAAGCTACCGTTTTGCTACTGAACACTGCTTTTAGCTTTTGTTCAGCTGCTTTTAGCTTAAACAACCAGTTTTAGCTCATTGAATCAAGTCTTGCAGTGTGTTTGTTGACATTGTTTGTTTCAGACTCGGGGGTGTTCGTCAGACCTGCTCGGACTCTTTGCGGGTGGAGTTGTGCTCGTCGGGCAGAGCCAGCTGAGGGTAGAGGCCTCGGCAGATCAGCAGCTTGAGCAGAGCCTGCTGACGTGAAGACAGGTCCTGACAGACGCTGACCGCCTCCTGGAGCGCCGACACGTTGTGACGCAGCTTAAACTTCACTTCCTGTTTCAGAGCGCACAGAACCACAGAGTATTTAAGAGCTGGGACTTTAATCAGTTCTTAACCAACCGTTAAACGTCTCACCTGTATGTCCACATCCTGTCCCCGTCCCTCCTTGTCCTTCCTGCCTCGTCTTCTGTCCTCCGTGTCCGATCCTGAGGACAAATCTGCGTCCTGGCCCTCATCCAGCCTCAGGACTTTACGTTTGCTCCCCTCCTGCTCCTCGTGATCCCGTTTCATCTGATGCAGCTTCCTCCTCTCCGTCAGCCTCTCCCTGCGCTGCTGGCGGTCTCCAGCAGGGGGCGTGGCCTCCTCTGACTCCAGCAGGTCGTGGCTCCTCAGCAGGTCCTACAAACCAACAATGGATCTATTTAATTATTTAAAAAAAAAAGAAGATTTTAACGCACGCACTGCAGCGTCAGGAGGCGCCTGCCTTGAACTGCCGGCGCAGGTTGACCATCTCATAAAGACGCTGCTCCTCCAGGCCACGCCTCCTGCACCACTTCCTGGAGCCGCCGCCTCGTTCTCCTTTCACCTGCCGAGGTCAGAGCTCATCAGGGTCGCCGTCGACGTAACAAACTGAAGCGTGCGTAACGTTTACCGACCTCCACCCAGGCATTGAAGGCGTTGAGCAGGGTGAAGGGGTCTCCCTGGTTGCTGTGCAGGGGCTGGCGGGCGGTGGCGCAGTCCGGGTTCTGCTGCGAGCTGCGCAGGAACGGCGACTGAACGCTGAGGGCCGCCGCCACCGTCAACATGGGCTCCACCAAGTTAAACAAAGACCCCAACACCAACATCTTACCTGCCGGGATTAAAAACAAACACATTAAAACCTTAATTTCTATAATTCTCTATATCAGAATGACTCATCATTTTATTAATAAAACTCTCTAATTCAAAGGTTTATGATCTATTGATTTGATTTAATTTCATTGCCCCTCAGCTTTGTGTCTAAATCTGTTAAAAAAATGTTTAATTTTTGAAGCAGGATTGATAAATCTTACCTATAACCACATCAACAGGCAGCTGAGCCAGCAGGCTGCCGATAGAGGTCAGCTCACTACGAGCGTCTAGCGCCCCCTGCTCCTTCAGGTACGTAACTGCAGTCTGGATGCTGGCAGTCGGAGGAGGATCAATAAAAACAAACGACAGAGGATCTCCCAGAGCCATACTCTTCATCTGCAGAGACACAAAACATAAAAAATAAACAATTATTTGTTTATTTATGTCTTGGTTTCCTCCTGAGCTGCACCACCTGGAGGACCAACGAGTCCAGAGCCACTCTGTGGATCTCAGGGACGGGGTACGGAGCGAAGGCGTTGTAGTCGGACTCCGAGTAGAGGCGGTAACAGACGCCCGGACCCGTCCGCCCGGCTCGGCCTTTCCTCTGCTCAGAACTGGCTCGGCTGATCCAGAACTCCTGCAGGCGCTGCATCTTGGCCTTCGGGTCGAAACTCATTTCTTTCACCTTTCCTGTAAAACAAAAACGACTCTCAGAACCTTACAGCTCATCACACACAGCCGAATCTAAGAACTTTAGCTGCGTAAAAATAAAGAAAAGGTTTACTAGAGAAAAAAGCTGAACCGGGTTTTTTAAGCTAAAGGAAGACTAGCTAAAGGCTAAAAATGTTCTGCTAAAATTAGAGAAGTGCCAGCTAAAAGTTTCAGAACCATCAACTGTTGAAAGTAGCATAATGCTGCCTAAAACTAAAAACAACAAAAGGCTACCCAATACTTAACAATGCAACAAATGCTAGCTAAAAGGAGCCAATCATTATCTAAAGTAGCAGTATGGAAGCTAAAAGTAGCAAAAGGCCAGCTAAAACAGGCTAAATGTTATCTAAAGTAGCAAAACACAAAGCTAAAGCACGAGCTGAATTTAGCTCGTAGTTAAATGTAGCAGAAAATTATCCATGAACCAAAAAAAAGCAAAACCACAACTAAAATATCAAAAACACCAGCAAGAAACTAAAAGTCCAAGAACAGGAGCTGTTAGTTAAAAGTGTTAAAAAAATTAAAAATAAAAGTAGCACAACAGACAAAAACAGACCAAGTCTGCCGAAGCAGATTTATAAGTGTTTTTTTTAAATAAGGTTAATTTTTTTATGTTGTTTAAAACTCATAAAGTCTAAAAGTCACGGCAGTCGTCTCCTGCATGAGCTGAACGTTTCCGAGCAACTAAAACGACTAAAACAGCACAAAGTCAGCAGAGATAGCTTGATTTAAAAAGAGATAAAGGAAAATAAAACAGGAAAACAGACAGGTAAATGCTGAGTCAGCGTTCACGCAGATCCACACCTGAGTCCACAACGAAGCGAACTCCATCGATCGTCACCGACGTCTCGGCGATGTTGGTGGAGATGATGCACTTCCTCACCCCAGGAGGAGCGATATCAAACACCTGCAGGTCAACAGGAAGTTAGAGTTTAAAGTAATGTTTGTCATATTTTCCCACAGTTTCTGTCTGACTCACCTTGTCCTGCTGGACCAGGGACAGGGTGCTGTGCAGAGGCAGGACTATCCAGCGCCGGGTGTGCGTGGCGTAAACCTGACACGCCTCCTGGATGGTGGAGATCTCCGCCATGCCGCTGAGGAAGAGGAGCAGGTCTCCACGCTCCTCCGGGGGGTAGCGCTGGTCGATGCCCTGCAGGATGCGAAGGTACGGTCTGGGATCCAGTTTCTCTGAGCGTGAGGCCTGCTCCTCAGGTGGGATGGGTTGATAAATCACCTTTCAACAACAAAAACACAACAAACAGGTAAAGTTTGTTTTCTAAATGTTCAGAGGTGTCCTCTTAACTTTTAGGCTTTTTGACACATTTACATTTGTTTACAAATATTTTCCAACAGAAAAAAGGTTATTTTAAAATCTCCTTCAGGCTCTGTTTTAATCTTTTTAAGCTACTTCTAAGTTTTAGCTACTCTTCTGCTACTTTTAGATTAAAGTTACTCTTTGGGTACTTTTAGCCCTTAGTTACTTTTACTTTTTGCTACCGATCTGCTACTTTTAGCTAGACTTTTACTACTAATTTTAGTTAGTCTTTCGATATGCTCAGACAGCCTTTTGATATTTTTACTTTTGTCAAATATTTTGCTACTTTTAGCTTTTATTTATATTAGTCATTTTAGCTTTTAGGTAGCATTTTACCTCTTTTAGCTCGTATTTTTCTACATTTAGCAACCAATTATCTAATAAAGTTTTTCTATTCAGCTTTTAGCCAGATTTTTGCTTTTATTTATTGATTTTTTTTTACTTTTATCTAGTCTTTTGTTACTTTGGGCTTTTTGCTACTTTTGGTAGTTTTAGCTACAATGTTGTTTCTATTTACTTTTAGCTAGGTTTTTGCTACTTTTTGCTTCTAAACAGTCTTTTGCAAGTTTTGATTCGATGACAGTTACGCTAGATAACTTTTACCCAGCTGTTTGCTAGTTTTACCCTCAGCTAGCCTTTTCCTACTTTCAGGCTTTAGCTAGCATTGTGCTTTATTTAGCTTTTAGTTAGCCCTTTGATACGTTTAGTTTTTATGTACCTTTTCACTAATTTTGCCTACGTTTTGCTAATGTTTTGATTCTTTTAGACAGTGTTGTAGTAAAAGTACAAGTACCTTACCAAAAAATTACTTTGGTAAAAGTTAAAGTATCCTTTAGGAATATTACTTGAGAGAAAGTCTTAAAGTATCTGAGACTTTTTGTACTTAAGTATTAAAATTAAACAAATTGATTTAAAATGAGCAGTTAGYTTTTCTGTAAGGACATTTATTAGGAGGTGACCTCCCCAAAAACTGCAGAAATAACTGTTGTATTAAAA